TTCTTCATTACATTAGCTTTAGCACCATTACATCTATCTATAACTTCTTCATTACATTAGCGACTTTGAAATTTGTTCCAGACACACTATTCAGATTAGGCGATCCATCTAATGATTATCTTTCCGAGCAACATAAGACAATAGCTCGTTACAAGAACTAATTATAGTGATGTGCTAACAATAATTCGATATGATTAGGATGATGTATAGAAATGTATAAAGAAATATTTACATCGTTCTTTTAAGAGGGCACACAGCTGTATCCACTGGCGTATGCAAACGCTCCTCCATCGCCACTTCTCTTCACCGACTTCTTAACGTTGCACTTCACGCCATCCACGTAAAATACATCTGATACCGTTCCATCCGCATCGGAAGGATAATCTCTGGAATCGTTTTCTAAAGTGTCTTGAATATTCTGGAGTACTCCTAATACAAGGGAACAAATGCATATATATGTGCTGAATTCTACAAAATCCACCCTTTCTATTTTAATTTAAAACAAGTTTATTATGGACATAATAACTTTCTGGATGAACAGACATTATCACAACTAACGATTACATTCTTGTAATAATAGCAGTTTAAGTGAAAAGATGGCACTAGAAATATCAATAAGCTCTTTAGGAGCCCAGAATAACTGTTCACTTTCCAGTGAGTGTTTATCAAACCTGTTGCTGGGCAACATTTATTTACAGTGTTATTAATCCCTGTAGTTCAAGTTTTGTAATTTTACGTCACATTACTCGAACTTTGTGAATTTTTCTCGTTGCCTTAAGTGAGTATTATGTGGACTTTTGATAAGAAAGAATTATTTAAAGCTTTAAATACAACTTTGATAAACAATAGTGAAACGAATTTTTGTACATACGTTTGACTTGTTTTGAATATATTATTGTAAAACAAGTGGATTGTGTGCTATCCTTTTATTGTTGATATTTATCGCCATCAAATTACAGACACCTGCTGTAAAGAATCTGGCCCCTTCATACATACAAACCTGATAAAAATAATCAACTATTTGAAAACTGTATGGAAAAGTTTATCTGTAAATATAAGCTAGAGTCATTTTCTCTCTTTTTCTTCGCTAATATCTAAAAAACAACAACAATATATTAAGGATTCTGTTGTCTCTTTTCATAGTCGCTCTTGTAGGTTGTATATCATTTCTAGAGAAAACTACCTCACATTCCCAAGGTCCTGCAATTGGTATTTTTATGTTCATGCCTGTCTGTGTAGTACTATACTGAAAGTATTGTATGGACTTAGAACACAAGTAGTAAATGCTGTTATCAATTTATTCTTTATTTCTGTTAACTCAGTACTAGCTTCTTAAATTGCTTCTGTTTAGTCTGATGCAGGATTATTGAAAAAAAAAAGAGATCTAAGACATGGTAGTGTACAAAAGCTCAAAATATACTTTTTAAACATTTTGTTTATTAACATAAACTGGAATTATTTTATTTGTTTTACTATTTTTTCAATTTAATTCTTTTATTTATAATGTAGTAATATGACATTTTGGTTTTCTTAGTAATATTGGTAGATAACGATTTTGAAAATACTTTTTGTAAACTCTTCATAACAATCGAACATATGCATTCCTAGGATACGTGTATAACATAATTAATTCATGGCACCCAGCTATGGGGAATTCTTAGATCCGAATTTGAACATATAAACCATTATTTGACAAAAGACTGTTGTGCGTGTATGTCCATTTATAACTAGTGAACCAGGTCTGAAGAAGGCCTCACTATTTAAGCCGAAACGTCGTCTCCTTTTCTATTAATAGGCAGTTGTAGTCCATGAAAAAAATTCAAACCTACAAACCCACTCTGCATAAAGTTTCATGAACTCTTCCTCAAAACAGATATCAATTTTATGTTTTAAAATTTCCTGAATTTTTTTCATTTATTAAAATATCATTATTACTTATGCAGTTTTGTTTACGAGTTTCATTCTTGACAAATGAATAGCATAATCTTAAAATTAAGTTTACCTTGTATATTTCTCAACACTTGTCTGTTGTTGGCTTCAAAATCGGGTATATTGAGTGTAAAGGAAAATCCACCATCTTCGATTGGAAAGAACGACCTCAGCCAATCAAAGCCTGGAAAGTCGGGAATGTAATCTCGTTTTTCTCGAGAATTAAAAGCAGAAATTCCACTAACTGTGAAAAGAGTCAGAAAAAGCAATAGAAGCATTTGTGGTATGATAGCTCTTTTCATGGTGACAACTTCCAGTAGGTGTTTCAAATTTCTCAAATTCTAAAAAGAAGTGAAAATAATTTAAATACGACTACACGTTCAAATTAAGCTAGTGAATTGAAAATATGTGTGATCAAATATTTTTCAATATACATATTTTCAACTATACTTCTTGCTTATCGAATCAAGATAATTATTATTCTTTCTGGATATCTTTAATAACACATCTCCATCGCAGTAAGCCACTCCTGCAATTTTAAGATATTCCCTAATTAGTCAACAAAACATAAGTATTCTTAAAAAGCTGATATCATACTAGTGAAGCTTTTTGTTACCTACTCTGAGTTCATTTATTTCATATTAAAATCTGTAATACAAATCCATTGTAGCAAATTTGTTCCAAATATGGCAAATATAGCTCATAGCAGCCAAACATGAGTAGAACTAAAAACAGTATAAATCATATATATCCTTCACAGCAGCCAAACATGAGTAGAACTAAAAACAGTATAAATCATATATATATCCTTCACAGCAGCCAAACATGAGTAGAACTAAAAACAGTATAAGTCATGTATCCTTCATAGCAACTAAACAGGAGTAGTTCTCAAGAAAGTAATAATAGCAAGCAAGCAGGTTTTGCAAACTGGTAGCGAAAGGGTTAACATCTGTATCACAAATATGTATTCGCAAAGAATATGCATTCAAAATGTAAAATCCTCGGCAATGAAATATAGATAGTTATAAAATATGTGAACACATACCTTGGAGTGAATTTCTGGATGATTTTGTACCAATATTCAATGACCTATAAGGTCATTAGCCAGGCGCTTCGCCTCCGGTGATTTTTAAAGCTGTTTTAGAATTTGAAAATGTAAAATCTGCACCATAATACTTTATTTAATATTTATAATTTGATGCACAAAATATGTCAGTATTCAGTACCGCCTCTAAAACTATTTGCCGGTACTGCGTATAAGTACGGGCAGAAATTCATTCTCCTACATTCCTCATAACAACCAAATATATACATTTCTAGGGTACGTGTATGGTAGGTAAAACTCATAGCAACCAAATATGAGAATTCAAAGGTCCATATTTTGAATGTATAAAACAATATTTGAGAAAAGTCTATGTATGTGTGTGTGTCCACTTATAACTAGAAAAATCGCCAGACCAATTGCCACCAAACCTGGCATGTACCCTTAGGGTTCTAAAATAGAAACATCGTAACTTAAACATCTGGCTCATATAATTGACAGCAGTTACTAAAACACTGCTTTACTGTGTATAAAAAATCTATTCTGAAGCATCTCCGACACACACATAGCAGCAAACATTATTAAACTAATCATATTTGGGCATAAAGAATTGCTGTTCTTCCTACAAATGACGATAAAATTCAGGGCCAAAACATTTAATAATTATTATTAACAAACTGATAACACACTTGGCAGTGTACCAAAACACTTATCCAGATCCGATATTTGTTCAGTAAAATTGTTTAACTGTTTGTTAAGAAATTACGTTTGTAGCAATTCCTATCTATGAAAAGTCTCAAAAAGAATTATACTCATTAAAGTTATGTATCTGGCCTCTTCAGACTTAAAAACAAAATTAAAAATAATCTATATACAAACAGAGAGCGTTATCTATCTGTGAATTAATAAGTTTCTCAAATATTATGTAGTACTTACTTAACTTCTGTCTGTCACATCGGTAAGTATCATCTCTTACCTGCCTAGCATATAAATACTCTCTTTCTGATTACGTCTACACAGTCACGTGATACAATTCTAGATCACCAGTCTTGGAAGGCAGAGGTGAAATCTTTGTTCTTTCCCTTTCAGTCCGAAGGTTAGTTTCTTCGTATAATGTCTTCAGTCTAAATTTAATGGAATATATTTAACTTCAGATGTTGATGAAATAAGGGTATCTAACTTGTTATGTAATATAAATGCGTAATTTCTTGGGGTGACCTTGACGAACATGCTGCTGCTACCTGTGGTTAGAAAATTTCGTAATTTATTTGCTCCATCACGGAAAGACCTGGGTTTTCCCAATAACAGATGAACTCATCTGACGAGAGCAAAATATTGCCTTGAGAATTTCCTGACTTTAAGCAAGTAGCCTCGCAAGTAAAACATCTGTAGGGAGATAAGTTTAATACCAACAATCACCAATGTAGGGAAAGAAACACTTCTTTTTAACTCTTTGTCAATCAAACATTGTCAATAATAAAAACATATTCAGATGAGCGAGGCTTAGAATGAATCTTCATAATTGCTTGTGTCATAAAGAACGTACAATCATAGAGAGAGCGAGAAATACATTCTCTCGGCGAATGAAAACTTTATATTCTTTACAGGGTTAGGAGGATCTAGTTGTTTGTGACTAATCAACAAAACCCCATGTATAACACTGTTAATCAGGAGAGTCCGTTAGAAATAAGGAAATTCCTGGAATTTGTCACTAATCAACAAAACCCCTGTTAATCAGGAGAGTCCGTTAGAAATAAGGAAATTCCTGGAATTTGTCACTAATCAACAAAACCCCATATATAACACTGTTAATCAGGAGAATCCGTTAGAAATAAGGGAATTCCTGGAATGCATAGGGCAGATGCTATCAAAAGCACTTCCGTCTCAAAGGGTAGAAAGTATATACATGTTTAAAGGATTTCCCCTGAGTAACCGCATTAATCAAGTTTGGTAACTAACTATCAAAATGAACGACTTAACTGGCTACAGACAAGTCTTAACATGATTTAATATAGATATATATATATACGTATATATATAAACTGACTGTGGTTTCGAAGAATCTTATGTCATAACACAGTAACTGTATTAAAGCCAACAGATTCTGATTGTGGTTGCTAAAAATATTATGTTATAGCACAGTAATTGTATTAAAGCTAACATATTCTGACTGTGGTTTCTAAGAACCTTATGTTATAACACAGTAATTGTATTAAAGCCAACAGATTCTGACTGTGGTTGCTAAGAATCTTATGTTATGACACAGTAATTGTAATAAAGCTAACAGATTCTGACTGTGGTTTCTAAGAACCTTATGTTATAACACAGTAATTGTATTAAAGCCAACAGATTCTGACTGTGGTTGCTAAGAATCTTATGTTATGACACAGTAATTGTATTAAAGCTAACATATTCTGACTGTGGTTTCTAAGAACCTTATGTTATAACACAGTAATTGTATTAAAGCCAACAGATTCTGACTGTGGTTGCTAAGAATCTTATCTTATAACACAGTAATTGTATTAAAGCTAACATATTCTGACTGTGGTTTCTAAGAACCTTATGTTATAACACAGTAATTGTAATAAAGCTAACAGATTTTGACTGTGGTTTCTAAGAACCTTATGTTATAACGCAGTAATTGTATTAAAGCCAACAGATTCTGACTGTGGTTTCTAAGAACCTTATGTTATAACGCAGTAATTGTATTAAAGCCAACAGATTCTGACTGTGGTTTCTAAGAACCTTATGTTATAACACAGTAATTGTATTAAAGCTAACATATTTTGACTGAGGTTTCTAAGAATCATATATCATAAAACAGTAATTATGTTAGAATTAACATATTCTGGAACATTGAAAGGTAACCATACACCAATAAATAAAGTTAACCTTGAAAAATATTTAAAATAGACATATGATAGATTAGTGTGACATATTTTATATCCCGGTTCAATGTTATATATACCAAACCCAGATATGTACTTAATCAGTATGATGATAAGAAGCAGTAGGAAATAAAGCTCTCCAACAAAATAGAAATATGATAGATTAGTGTGACATATTTTATATCCCGGTTCAATGTTATATATACCAAACCCAGATATGTACTTAATCAGTACGATGATAAGAAGCAGTAGGAAATAAAGCTCTCCAACAAGAAACTGCAACGAAAGAAAAGCTATTTTTGAACAATTACAAATATACAAACATTATATTTCAGGAAATATTATTGAATTTACGTAGTTTCATGTTTGGTGTAATATAGCAGCTTTAGACCAATAGAATCGACTTCCCGTGACCCGGGTTGGGGGTATCGCCACTATTACCAACTCTCGTTCGATTCATTAAGGCGGAAATATATGAATTACCAGTTACTGGTCTACATCTCATCTGTTATTTAAGAACAAAATTATCAGAATAATAAAGAATAATTATTTTATTTAATTAAATTGCATTTTACACATTAATCAGGACAGTCTTCAAAAATATAAACACCGTAATCAAAACAAACTGACTGACGAAACACTGCTTTACTGTGTAACAATCAAATACTATTATTCTGAAGCTTTATCAAGAAATCATTAACTGACAAACTGTCAGTTACTTTTGTTTTGATCTATATGTGTGTGTGTGTTCTTAAATTTGTAGTTAAATATTGCTTACTTTCATTTTAATAAGAAAGTGACAATTGGCAGGCGGCAGCCATTTATTACCGAGATAAAAAGCATAATAGCCAACATGAGACACCAGAGTATTATGTCCATTTAAGAGCTGCAGTTTGTAGGAGTATTACATAATAACTCAATGTAACTATCATTTCATTTTTTGAGTATTAGTCACTTAGCTGGTTAGCTTTTATTTCTGAAAACGCGCTTGGTTCTATTGAAGAACATCTCATCATTCACATACAGTATCGCTAAGGCTGTTTTCGATCATCCAGTTCTTCTTTTCTTTGTACCCGATGTTTCTGTAAAACAGAGCAAAAACTATTATAACTAATTTATATTTAATAATTCTAAAAATTTTGTCCCACTTTTATAACGAAATAATAAATGCAAACATAGTAAACTTTACACATAAATTGTAAGTAACCCTTTTAAGTCTACAAACACAGTATCCTTTACACATAAATTGCATGTATCCCTTTTAAGTCTACAAACACAGTAACCTTTACACATAAGTTGTAAGTATCCCATTTAAGTCTACAAACACAGTAACCTTTACACATAAATTGTAAGTAACCCTTTTAAGTCATCATACCTTTTAGATGTTCAATACAAACCATCAAA